TATAGTATTGACATACTTAAGCAAGTTGTAATTTCATTTAAATATCACATTTATTCAGTCTTTGCTATATGTGAAATTCACGTATGTAATAAATAAGTTTTTACTTCCAAGAAATACTGTATCTTAAAAGTTTAAATAGTTTGAACGTTACAGATTCAAAGATTCCATAAATATAAATATATTAAATTTTCAAAAAATTAAAAGAATATATAATCTGTACTAATAAATCTAAAGTGAATATAATAAATAGAAACTTAAATACCTGTAACATTAAAAATATATAGCCTTTTGGAATCGACGGTTCAACTCTCTATTCTTTAACGAATCAATTCACAAATCCCACTAGAAAACGCGCAATATAAGATAACATTACCGTATGTCAAAATTTCTCATCCCTAGATATTCGCCTGTAATGCAAACGAATACAACGTGGGCAATCTGCTTTTTTAAAGTTTTGCTTGCACTCATTATGAAAACATGCACCACACATTTCGCACCTAAATACTTTTGATAACTCCCATGGAAATATAACATCTTGACAGGAACATAATTCGCACACGAATCCTCTAGCTTGGCACAACTAAAATGGTAATTTATTTGTAATAAAAACATGATCTACAATGTAGGTATAATATTGATGGTTTACCTCACACCCTATGATGTGCATATGGCAAACTTCAACCAATTCTTGTAATCTTATTGGCAAAATGCCATATTTAACCTGTATCAGATCCTGGATGGAATATACATGGGGATCGCTTATTATATAATTCGGTTCTTTTTTCAGTACTTCTTGAACACTAAAAAAAACATACACATAAATATTTTTTAAAACGATAATTGTTGAATAACTTTTAAATTAAAGATAATTTAACAAGTTATCAGAATTCATACCTTGTTGCGAAACGACAGGTAAATAAGAAATCTTTGAAACAAAATAATTGTGTACGCAGTAATCTCATTCTGTCTAATTGTTTGATGCGTTTGTAAAGTGATGGGTTTAAATCGTTTACTTGAAACAATGGATCTAAGGCCATCTGGTCTAATAATCTATATGAAAAGTTTGATACAGGATATCTAAAGGAATATATCATAAACAATTATAAAAAAGTTATACAATGATACATATTATATCTTTCAATGGAAACTGATGGTACCTATTGAAATCCCACTTAGATAAAATTTTTCCTGGTATCAGTGCCACTTGATTAGTGTGACAACCAGTACAGAAGTATCTACCTAAATATTCACAATAACGAAATTTGTTCACATATTTTACTGCAACCTTCATTCCACAGCCTGCACACCTGTAGTTCTGTTTGGCTATAAGAGTTCGTCGCCTGAAAATTATACAACTCAATAAAATGCCAATTTTGTTATTTCAATTCATAAACTTACACTGGCGGAAGATGTGTTGTAAAGATAATTTGTGGTCTTGGAGGAGCCCATTCCGTAGTCCCACGCAACGAAATCGTTTGTGAATTTTCTGTTTCCTCTGAACTAACAAGCCAACTTTTAGGTAACGGTAACAATCCTTGCGGTGCATCTTCCTTGGAGACTAACCATTGTAATTCGCTTGCTCTCGGCAATTGTTTCTCACTAAATTTACTAATAAGCGATAAAGCTACACCTTCTGCAGACATACTGCCTTCAGTCAGTGTTGAGTCTGTTCCATGGGAAGGCGACGATTGGTACAAATCTGCATCGGAGTACAGAGATGCCATGGAAATCGAAATTCCAGCGTTTTTCAGTTTTAATGCATTCCGTCCGTCGTTCATTTCTACATCCTCTATCTCGTCTTTAAATATATCAGATGAAGTATCCGTCGAGGTCGACAAAGGGCTAACACTCTGATCGGTTGTAGTTGTATCTGTTTTTCCGTCGCTCAGTAACTCGCGATTCCATGTCCTCTCCTTGAGCCGTTCCTCTTGTCGTTGTCGACGCCTTAAACGTATTCTTTGCTTTAAACTGTTTATTTCCTCATCACTTTCTTCGGCCGCTTCTTCCAGAAGACGCCATTGCCGGTTGCATTTTACTTGTTCAATCGCAGCTATCATAGCTTCGCACACACTGAAATGTGCATTTTCTCTATCTAATTCGGCATTAGCTCTAGAAAATCGTGCAGATGCTAGAAAGCTTGTTAAACTTTGACCTTCTGCCGGACGTGGAAAATATCCTATAGCCATTGGTTGAACACTACTACCTCCATCTTCCATAAAACTTTTCTTTGGTGCTCTAATCTCTTTTTGACCTTCGATCTCTACACTCCATGGGCTGGTAAATTCAGGTGCTGATACGGGCAAAAGGGAATTCTTCCATCGTGGTTTTTGAACTATTTGAATTCCTGTGGAATCTCTTACATGTCCATCTACATCAGTTTCATTTGGTACAGGGGATGGAATTCGATACTCCACCACCTTATTTATTATCGAATCCTCATTATTTGTTGTATCAGAGCTCTCGCTTGACTTGGCAATTGTCTGACTTTGTTTCATCTTATTTCTACTCTTTGCCTTTCTTAAAGGAGTTCTAGGTCTTACAGATAATTTGTTCTCCGCAATAGTAGAGGTAGATTGCTTCAATTCAGCATAATTTACATTAATTAGCTTCGACAATTCGACTTTAGGAGTCTGAGATTCATTACTTTTATGAGAGCTAGTATCTGCAATAATTAACGAAGAGGCAGAATGTGTACCTGAAATTGTATAGCCTTTAGTTAAGGTGGAGAGACTATTCCAAGTTTCTGAAGATCTATTATTAACTTCTTTCAAATATGTTTTATGATATATATAGTTTTCTTCAGATTTAATATCACCTTGTTGGATTATCGGATTTTCTGATATTCTCAGTGATTCTAACTGTGATTCTAACTTAACAATGTCTAACTGACAATGTTCAAGATGAATGTTTCTGTCTCTTGCCACACTGAAATTTGTAGTAGAAAAGTTAATTGGATATGAAGAAGAACGCCGATGCCTCTTAGGTCTTGCTTTAGGAGAAATCCAAGAAGGTAAAAACTAAAATCAATTATATGTAAATAAGGAATTTTAGTAATACTGTATTGTAAATGCAATACTATTCAAGTGACTTACTAAAAATGGGTCAATTTCTGTCAGCAACACAGGTTGATTTCGTTCGACAGCTCTTAAACATAACAATGTGGCTTCAGCCAAATTCTCTTGACACAAAAATGCCCATGGTTCGAAACAAGATAGTAAATGTTCCTTGTCGGATAAAAGCCAGGAAAGCTTATGTGATAAAGTATGACTCTCCAAGCTAAATTATAATAATTTTTAAATCTTGTTGCATAAATTCATATGTGCAAATCAAGTTATGAAATACAAGATTTCTTACATCTTAATATATTCATTCAATGTCATGTATACCTTTTATATAGCCACAACATATCTTTTTGTGATGTTATTCTCGCTGGTAAATTTAAAAGATAATCCTTTACTTCAGATAAAACAGGGGAAACTGCTAAAGAAGGTTGTAGCCAATTCAATCCCTGGATAAAAATCCAACAGTCCGGTTCTCCCTTAAAAGTAAAAATTTCTTTTCTCTTTTCTTTGACTTTGTTCAATGTCAACATTACACAACAAAAATCTTCATTATTATCGCTGTTCCAGTTACCATGTGACAATGATGCTAATTCGAGTTATAAGCGAGAAAAAAAAATAAAATATCTTGAATCAAAACAAATAAAAAACAATACTACTGATAATAGAATTAAATACTTACAATCTATACAGCGATATGATACTTTTCAGAACGCAAAAGAAATGAAAAAGATAGTTAATTACAAACGACATAAACAATTCGAAACATGCAACGATATATCGATATAAACAAATAAAGATGTAATCTTACATTTCGATTAAATATTCGACAGCCATGTTTAAATATCCGCTCCATTATATGGTGAAGTCGATTTAAACCACCGTAGACATTCCATACGTTTAAAACACCGTCGACTAACAATCCTTCGACGGTGGTCCGTAAATTTTGTAAAAGTTGTCGTTGCACTTTAAGATGGGCGTCTTCGCACATAGTGGTGATCAGAAAATATCTGCACTCAATTCAGATCTGTAGTTTGTCAATTTGCTTATGCTTTATGAAATACCTTTTCAAACAGATCTTTTTTCGTATAGATCCTGAAAAATTTATCCAGTGGCGCCAAAAAATGTCAATTTATACTATCGTAAATATCCATTGATTCGCCTGTTACTTCCTCGAAATATTTCATTTAAGAAGTTACATGATAACAAACAAGTTTGCTTTATATTCGGATGCTGTCATTTGACGCACGTGATACTACGTAACTTCATTTTATTAGATAATTTTAATAATGAATCATATGCTGTTGGAGAAACGTTTGGGAATATGTACTTCATGAACGTCGAATAACACGAACACTGATTAATGTCAGGTTAGAAATTAATGTTATACACGCAAGTAGTTGGACTGTAAAGTCCAAATTACTAGAAGCATCTATAGCATACGCTGCATGGAGGCGCAGCTATCGCGTTCAATTTAAAGTTTAGTTATCATCAGAACGGCACATTTAATTCGAACATGTTCGAACACAGATAAGTTATACATGACATAGCCCAGTTTTGCTATGAATGGCGCCATCTATTTAAACATCAGATTTCACGTAGCAAATTATTCTTAGTACATATACAATTTACATGGTATTTTTCTTTGTTTTGTTTCCCAAGAGACCATCATCAACAGTAAACAGATATTTGAATGAAGCATTCACTTTGAAAATGAAAAGATGTGAAGACATCTTTCAAAAGCATCAGTAAGGATATTTATAAAAATGTAACACATCTTGTTACATATAATTTCGATTGCCTTATCTCTAACACAGAAAATATCCTTTGTACCGTATCTAGTTGCAGGGTTGCAAACATACTGCATTATAGTGTCACATACATGTATTTCAGAACTGTACCCACAATTCAGAACTTCTCCATGGATAAAACATTGTGAAAACTTGTACAATGTGAAATGAAACGTTTACTTTCATCTTAACATCATTACACGCGTTTTCTTTTTCGAAGTTTCGAGCACTGATTAATGATTCAAGATCGAATATCTTTTCGAGTTTGATGCGAACGTCCTTAAGTTGAGGCCTATCTGATTATAATTTCAATATATACAATGGGAAATTGTGTACTCAGAAACTTGTGAAGGGATTCAAAATTCGGCAATGTACAGTCCGTGTCTCATAAATTTCATGCAATATATCTTCCATGATGTATCGTTAACTCTAGCAAGTGTTAATAGGCAGGTCTTGAACGAAATACGTTTCCTTCCTGGAAAGAACCTTGAAGAGTTGGATCTATTTAGCAGAACTTCCATCGATTTCCACATTCGTTGCATAGTACAAAAGTAGTCATAGGTTCGTCGGCTGAACGTGTTTGTACTTGGTTGTATGTGCAGTTGCGTTTCTTGCATTTACCGCATTTCAATAAATCGGTTTTCGTGCCTTGCACAGTGGCAAGTTGCGCGTCGTTAATGGCTTCTTTCTTGAACTGTTCTCGCAATTGTTTTATCTCATCACTTGCCATTTCTTCGGCAGTCATGACAGCAAGCCGAGCGGGTGTTATAGCACCAGCAATGAAGTTGGTTCGAAGATTAGGATTCTTCGCGTCACGCAGATTTGCAACCCTACTTCGTACCTGAAAAATTAATTACACATTTCAAATAGACTGATATAAAAGTATAAATATGTTAAAATCAAAGATTTAAATGTTTACCCTATTTTTATATCTGTTGTCAGTATTTTTGAACTCTGCATAAATAGCTTCCTCCAGTTCCTCTGCCAATTCTTCTGGAGAAGCACAGCCCTCAATCGCTTTTCCATCTACTCGCAAAGCTGCTGCCAGCAGCTCCCTACATTTAAGTCTAACAGCATCTGTTGTGGTAGGTGCAGGGAACGTTGACTGTTTCCTTTGCATATCTTTATGAGGTTTCTCTTCTTTCATTTTAACATCGCCATCAGAGTTATCCTTATCTTTTTTCTGATCTCCATCATCTTTATTTTTTTCTGATTTATCATCTCTCTTCTTTGAACTACTCGAAGATGTAGAATCCTTTTCTTTATTTGATCCTGAATAAAATGTGGACATTAATATAAGATTTATATTAATTAATCCACTTATGTTATTTATTTGAATAATTATAATCCCTTACCAGATAAGAATTTTTTCCAATTCTTTATCAGAGTTTTGGACAATGATATAACTTCCTCATCTCTGCTTGACTTCCTTAATGCATTTACCGTCATTCCAATGCGAGTTTTGGTTAAGAGTTCTAAGTCAACGGGCAGTTTCTGCAATACTTTAAGTAAGTCCAATGCTTGCTCCTGACCCTGAAACAAAAGTAATTACTTTCTTCAGTGTAAAAAAATATAAATTGCGAATATATATAAAATATTAGCATTTCATAATATAGAATGTATAATATAATATTGATAGTTCAATGGATTAATTAGTTTAAACTTGAAATTATTATTTTATCATCGTTTATTGTTTATTTTAACACACTATTGACATAAGCTCAATTATCTAATCTCATATGGTTCACTGATATAATTTACACTGATGACAGTAACTTTTTGTTAGATAATGCATAATACAACTAACAATTGTGCACACTTAGAGATTTTCCAAATACTAGATCTGCAGTATTAAAATGTTTACAATAAACATAACTTGAAACATTTTACAGAACGTGAGCGTATTACAATAAATTTTACACCTAGAGGACAATTTAACCTTTACCAACGCTTTATTACGTTAAAATTAGAATACTAGATATTCAAGCTCCACAATACATTGACCGCCTTAGGTAATACAAACATTGCAAGTTCACTGAAATTAACGCGCACATCAACATTATCATCTCGAACTATAAGTTTCAAAGATAATATGTTCGTACACGTTGCACGATCTAATGATATCTCGGTAATAGTATTTTAGTTTGAAATCTAACATCATTAACGGTGAGCGAGGCCGAATCTGTAAAGTGAAACACAACTATCTTTATTTTACTCACTTACTCACCGTCCCGTCACCGCTCGACATCTTGTTCAATTTCTTTTGAATCCGTAGCACTTCCTCCTCAGCACTCATTGTAAAAATTCGGCAGGTTTTACACAAAAAACCAATATAAATACATACAATACACTAAGGAAGCGAACAACAAACTCCTGAGGTGCGTTTATAACCGTGACTTACGATACGGAGTTCGATACTGGATTGGCAACTCGTAGCGCGTTCAAGTTTTGGTAGTCCCATCGTTGCGTTGCTTCCTATACTTGCCACGAGAGGGTACTAAGTTTAGAATATTTTTTTCGTAAACTCTTTAGTAACATATATTTTCAGTATTTTTTCCAATTAAAAATAAAATTATTACACACGAAATACCATAACTTCATTATCATACCGCGGCAATGGGATTATTTCATAAGAAAAAAGTCCTTAGTCATATTACGATATGTATATGTATGTATGCTTTATTTAAGTCATGCATATCTTCATTATTATTTAGATATATTCTATGGCTCATCCAAAAGAATATGTATAATGCTAACATATTGCCTTATTGAACGCTGTACTTCTTACACTATGCTTATTATTAACTTGTAATATCTATATTAAATATATAAAACTATAATAATGTAAAGATGAAGATATTTAATGATTATAGTATTGTACATTAACGTAATAAGAATTTATTATGTACATATAGTATAAAAATTGATTTACTAATTTAACGTTTTGTTGGTGTATAACTGATAAATTGCTTTACTAATTATTGAACCAAGAACCTGCTTCTTATTCCCTGATTGAATATTAGATATTAATAGCTCCCCATTGGAATCGGATTGTTGGAAAGCGTTAACCAGTACTTTAGGTGTAGGATAATGCTCCACAATTGCAACTGCTTTGTCTACAGATACACCCTTTAACTGTAGCAATTGACGAATAAACATTTGATTTACTTTGAATACCTAAACAAAGTAAAAAATTCGTTTATATCTGTAATTACGTATAAATTTGTTAAATCAATTCAAATTTTATACTTTTTGCTTTGATGCAGCTTTATTGAATTCTTCAAATTCCATCAGATGAACGGTATCGTTTAAAATATCTACTTGGGGAAGAGTTTCCTTTTTGCATCCCACCAAATTCTTTTCCTACAATCAGTATAATATTCTTCAGTTTTTAATAATTGATTCGAACGATGTCGTAATACACAGTACATTTCATACATACATTAAAAACATCGTTGAAAACTTTTGTTAACGATGATAAATAAAACATAGAGTCTTTATGATTCGCAGTGTATTTTACTAAAAATCCATCTTGTATTAAAGTATTTATAGAAGCTTGCATTAGAGATGATCGTGGTATTGCCAATCTGTGGCTTTTATCATATTCTTCAATTATGTACATACGATTTTCAATGCCTGATTGCTTCAATCGAAACTTTACGGAACAAATTTTGTTATAATTATTAAAAAATAAATTGATAAAATAATTTATACATGCAAGCATGGTATCACCTTTTGTTCATGGAATCTTCCATCTGTAATACTAGCACTTAAATCATCTATTCTTTTTCTTTCTACTATATATGGAAGAATCAATTCGTTTCTTGTATTTCTACACCTGGCAATCCATGCAAAGTCCCCAACTTTTAAATGACGTACTTCGAATAATACACCATATTGTGATAACTCCGAAATTGTAGCATCATGTTGAGGTTTTCTCTTTCCACTGAAATGAAATTTCTAAAAAATGGTTTCCATATACCTATAGAATTAATAATTGAAATGGTACATACCCACAAGTTTCTTGAGTATCCACTAATAATATTATATCGAATTTGTTAGACTGTAAATAGATCTTTTTTTGTACATGATCAGTGGAAGAAGTTTGACCATTTTCTTTACTACATGCGCCTGTATTAATATTTTTCAATTTGTCACGTTTTTCTATAAAATTATTCTCCTTGGATTTTTTCTGCGTGGAATACTGACTGGATTGTTGCACATTTTTGTTTGTAACAAGTTTTAATGATTGAGGCTTCTGAATTTGAGAAGATTCACTTAAATTATTATGAATATTCTTCTGATATTCCCTGGCTGGATGTCCATTTAAATTTGGATTATCACACTGTTCTATGTCTGCATTTGCTAATAATTTCTGTGGAAACAATTCTCCTAAACGTGTTAGAATGTTCTTTAATGCATTACGAGAAATAACTAGATTTGCATCTGTGGCAGTTATTTCGCAGATCTTTTTTGCTATATTTATCCCCTCTTCTGTAAGACTATACCTGCAGAAATTATTATAATATTAATTGGATTTGTAATACAAGTACAATAACATAAATTGATTTATTACCTTATTGGTGCGCCTAACATAAAAATTAAACCATTATCAAACAAGCTTGTAACTGAATCTTTTGATACATGACCACATAAATTTTCTACTTCGAGAAACAAATTCTCCTTGATAATAAGCCCTAAAAAATACTATTATAATTAAAGAAATTTAACAATACAGAAGATCAACAAGTTTAACAATATATAAAATGAAGTAAAAAATACCTGAAGAATAGGACTCTTGTGTTTTCTTGTATAATATCATTAAAACAGCATAATTTTCCAAGTTCCATGATGATAAATTAAATTTGTTAAATATTGCCAGCTCTGTCTTAAAAGGAAATGTATTTAGTATTATTGTACACCTTTTCTTTTAAATTAATCCTTGTGTCTTAAAAATCATATTATGATGGATTTTTTATATCCCTACCTTCTCAGGTACAGTATTTTCTGCACTTATTGAAAGATGTTGTGATTCATGTTTTCTTTTAAGAGCATGCCTTTCAGTATTTTTACAACGTGAACAAGCGTAGTTACCAGCACCTATCATATCTCCATTTTCAGCTTTATATTTTTCGAGCTTCTTATCTAACATCGAGCATAATTTTGTACCAAAATGTTGCAGTATTATGCAATCTTTTCCAGACTTTAATGGCAGGGGATATTTCTTCAATGAGCTAAGTGCTTTAGAAAAATGATTTCGCATTTCGGAATTTTGGGATGCAGCTTGTTCCCGCCATTCTTGTAACCAAAGTTCAAACAACGGATTTGGTTTCTTTAGTTTGATCTTCACTCTTTTCATCTTTCATGTCTTTTGATTTACATTAGCTTCATACAATTACGTATCATCGACTGTGCATTTTGTTGCAAATTAATCGCCATACAAATGATACTGCACTCAGCAAAACTGTCATTTCACGTTGTAGGGATACTTTCGAGAAACCAACAGCAAACATATGGTAGACAGAACATAGAACATAAAACTACAGTTTCATTCGCAGCATACATTTTGGAGCAACTTTGCTGCCTTCGCTTGTACAAATCTTTATAATGCATTATACAAATTTTAGCGACAAAGCACAAGCATTAACAAGTTTATCCTTCAACAATGAAACACAAATAATTGAAGATTAGCGAAATCTATGAGCACGATAATCTCGCTAACTATGATAGTAACAGCAGAACAATACATAAATGCACACGTCAATTCTACATAAAGTATGTTTACATATGTACTAATTTTATGTATGTACGTTGTATGATATAAATATTATATTTGTTATTATTAACTACAATAATAGAGCTAAACGGCGATTAAGACAAAGACCATGAATAATATTTCAATACAATTTATAGAGTTTCAAAAATATTTATAGCTTCAAAATTTAGTTGGAGAAAGTTTCATGTGTACCAACATATTCGTAGTTAGCAAGGTTCTACTGTCAATACAATAATCAACAGTAACATTTACTAAAAAATATAATGTATATTTCCTTTAGAAAAATCATGCACTGTTGATTGCTTATTTGCATTCCAGTGTAAACATAAAATTCGTAATTTGTATTTGAAATCAAAAATCAGCAGAATCATGTAAAATAATTAGCAATCCTAGTTATATTCTGTTTAAGGGAATCCCAAGTTACATACGCCCTGTATGATACAGGATGCAGGCTGCATCAAGAACTCTTTCCAGGCGTTGTACAACTTGTACAGTCGGTGAAAAAGGGAACGCAATTAAATTATCGATAGTTCGCGTTTGGTATGCATGGAATTCCATAAGACAGTCAATGTGACCAATGTTTGTGGTGTGGCAGAAAATGCAGTTAAATACGCAATTATTCTAATATTGCCTTGTGTAAAAAGAATAAAGAATTTCTATGAAACAATGAACAGAGCGAGCGAGTATAAATGGATTGTGGGTATATGATTCCAGTAATCGTCTGTGAGGTATGATCTCATTTCCTAGTAAGTCATGCATTCAGTAGTTAAAAGTTAAATGTTTCTTTTTTACAATTAATAGTGCTCCAATCATTCTCACGCTTTTATTATTGTCACGAATTTCATTCAGTGTTAAAAGGTAAAATTAAATAACAACGAAAACATTATATAATAAATAACACTCATTAAAATTTGTTAAACACGTCTGTTTAATAACGACACAATTAATCGTTTGTACGATTTAACGAAAATAGATTGTCAAATTGTGTCATTCAAGTATGTTTAAAATGTATACTATACTATGTATACTAAATTATGCAATTTAATGAACCTACCTTTTTGTATAAAGATGTATCAATTAATGTTAATTAATTGATAATGTTTCTATGCAATATTCTGTTACAGTTATACTTATGTGGATAGAATTTAGAAATGGCAACAGGAGGTAGCAGTTTTATAAGTAAACCTGCCAGGGGTTGGTTACACCCTGACCATTTAGTCAGTAAAGAAGGAATTACTTATACAGTGAAAGTAAGTTTGTTGTTTTAACTTTAAGGATTCAATATATTCATATAATTCTAAATTTAAGAGATCTAGATAAAGATGAAATTATAATTTCTCCTATTTTTCTAACAAATTCTAGTATATAGGATGTCTTGAAGTATATACATCCATGAAAAGCTTGGACTTCGAAACAAGATCATGCGTTGCCAAGTAAGTCTTATATTCTTACTACTTTTTAATATTTTATATTTTTGAATTAAGAATCAACCAACATTTTATAATTTTAGAGAATGTATAAATAGAGTCTGTGAAGCTGCAGGATTGAAGTCAGCAGACAAGAAGAGAAGGGTATTTATTAAAAATAATATTACTATTTCCTTTCTTTAAAGCAAGCTATTACAGCATATGTTCAATGATAAGTATTAATGCACTAATTACTTAGGTCGACAAGAAAGTGCTAAAGGCAATAGCAGACAAGCCTCGCATGGAGCATTCAGGTGCTACTATAAACTTAACTATTAGCAGTTGTAGTTTAGCCTTGACTAATATAGAAACTGGACACATAATTGCCAAACATGAAATGCCTCGGATATCTTTTGCTTCTGGTGGAGACACGGTAAATTATATTTTGTTGTTCCGTTTTTATTTACTATTAATATTGCATGAAATCTCACTTGTGATATTTCAATAGGAAATATTGGACTTTGTTGCATATGTTGCGAAGAATATGCAAGAATGGAGAGCCTGTTATGTATTAGAATGTGGAGGTGGATTAGCACAAGATGTTATATCTACTATTGGACAAGCTTTCGAACTACGATTTAAAGAGTTCCTTACGAAACCAGCTTCATTACAGTAACTATAATTCATATTCAATAACTTTCATCAATGAACTTTGTGAATGTTTTTATCTAATTTTTATTCTTTTCATAGTCCCATGTTAAATGGCATGAGAGAAGCAGACAGAGATTATTACAATGATTTGCCAGGTAAAGTACCACCAGACATTGGACCTCCACCAGTACCACCTTTGCCTACTGCGGCATCAACATTACCAAATTTAAAACATCATCATTCGGGGCAGAATCATGTAACACGAAGCAGCGCACAAAATACTGTTTTACACGACTCATTTTCTTCCAATTCTGATAGACATCAACAATGGGCAGGTAACTTAGGAGTCATATGGCACCAATAAAAAACATTAATTACGCTGTGACCTATTTCATTTTACATTGAATATAATTTTTATTGATTTTATAGAGACTGGTAATTTAATTGATTTAAATTCTGATGGAACAACCACTACAAATTTCAGTATGCCTCCTGAACATAATTATGTAAATGATAGTGTAATAGCAGCAACCAGGGAAAGCCATCGTGATCAAACATCACTTTTCGATGTATTTGACATGCGTAAGCAATATTTAATCATTAATAATAATGTTCTTTTCTGATTACACTAAGGAAAGAAACAAGTAGATTTTTATGTTACTATGTACAATTTTTAGAGCCGTTTAGTTCTGCAATCTCGGATATGAATAGATTAAGTCCACATTCACAGAAACAACAACTAAAGCAAGAAATATGGTTTCATGGAAGTGTTAGTCGGGCTGAAGCAGAATCTATGCTTACACGGGTAGGAACACAGTGGAAAATAATACATAAAAAGATTTTACTAAACTTGCAATGCTATTTTAATAGGATGGGGATTTTTTGGTTCGAGAATCACAAGGTTCACCAGGCCAATATGTTCTTACTGGAATGAATAATGGTACACCAAAACATTTATTGTTAATTGATCCCGAAGGTGTGGTGAGTACTAAGTAAAAATTAATGTAGTGCCAGTAACAAATATTTATTTTCCATGAAATAGTAAACTACTATGATTTTATTTCATTTTAATTTTTAGGTTCGCACAAAAGATCGTGTCTTCGATAGCGTAAGTCACTTAGTTAATCATCATTGCGACGATTTATTACCAATTATATCAGCGGACAGTGTATTAGTACTTCGACATCCAATTCCTAGGCGTACAAATAATTGATTTTTACAGAATTTTACTAATGCTCGAAAGATTAGATACTGTTCATATTTGATATCTCACGTTTGCGTTAATATCTAATATAAAACAAATGTCGTTGCCACATATGATGCTTTCAATGATAATCCTCGAACAGCCGATCGAAAACAGCAACGTAGTAGGTCAATAACGGGTTATCTTTAATCCGTATTAGATTTTGTATTAGTACATGTTTAAAACTTATCTTTTCGATACAAAATAGACTAATGACGCTTATAATACATAAAGAGAAAGAGTTTGTTAGAAAAATGTAAAAGATAAAGAATGTACGCGTACCCTCTTTGCTACGCTAAAATGTGGGTCAAAAGAAACCTTGAGCCGGCTGAGCGGGGGTTGAAAAAGGTCCATCATTCGGTATAAACAACAAATACAATGGAAATTCTATGCTATCAATATTCTTATTTTCAAATTATAACTATGCTAAGGTGTAGTTTATCAAGTTTTTTCTCTAATTCTTACTAAAACGAAGGGATGCTAATATCTCGCAAATAAAACGTTAATAAATGTAACCTTACTATTAAACATAATGATGTCAAAATGCACAAAAAAAAGTTATATTCGTAATTTTTTAAATTACTATAGCTTATAAAAATTGGCTGATATATGAAATGTCTACATGTAACAATTTTTTTGATAAAGGACTATATATACATATATATATAGTATATCATATACGAAAGTGACATAACTAAAAGAAGACGAAACAAAAATTTTTGTATCTTATTTATTAATTTTAATTTTTTGTGTAAATTCACGGACATTTTCTAT